TTGGTGTTGTGGTGCAGTGGATAGGGCTCGTAAATAAAAAAAATTATAAAAATAATTCCCCAGTCCGTCACGCGTCCGTTCCTACAGTAGTCTGTAGATAACACAAGATTCGTCCAATACAAACAAACCACTCAGGGCACCTGCTCATCATCGTACAATTAAAAAATCTAAATTAGAACACAATGTCAAAAAAGATCTAGATCTTGACGCCTGCGCGTATCTCTTCAATGATTCTCCACCGCTCACTTCCTTCCTCGGACATAGCAATTACATAAGCACCCTCCCCCACCCATCTACCCTCCCCCCCCCCCCAACACACACACCACGACCACCCTCATCCACACCCTTGCTGTGCAGTGTGGCGCCGGCACGCCTGCGCGAGATCTGCGACCACGTGTTGCGCCAGCTTGGATCGTAAAGTACAGAGTGCTTCCCAATCGTCATCAACTTTCTCATGCAGCAAGGTGGTGGCGGTACTGTTGAGGGCGGCGAGGAGTGGGAGATGATGCCAGAGTGTGTGACAGTGTATGACGGTGATCTCACATGTGCCTGCCTGCACGTGTGGCTGTGGCTTGTTCTCTCACAGCCGCTCCCTCACATGCCTTCGCACACACTCACACACATGCACGTTGATGTTCAGCGGATGGAATGGATGATGTGAATGCGCTGACAGCGAACATGCAACACCAACAACAAGGCGACGATCACCATGTGCTTGTCTGTGGTGGCTGCCATCAAGAACGGGCTGGCATTTGATGCGCGCATTGCAAAGGCGTGGCTGCGGCCAACTCAAGACGACCACGGCCCAAGCCGATCACCGCCCTCGATCTGCTTGTGCTGTTGCTGCTTTACCAAGCACCAGAACGCCCACCGGCGCGGCGCGGAGACCACCGTGATCAAGCTTGCAAGCACGGGCCGGCTCATCGCCGCCATGGCCGCTGCCACGTTTGCCAGACACACGCGCGCGTTCTTGATGTGCTTCAAGTCGATTGTGCAAATGGCGGACATCCTGAGCCAGCGGCAGGGGGCCGCGTGCCGCGACCTCGCCTTAACGGCCGGAGGTGGTCGGGGCGCTGGTGGCGCACATTGGCACGGGGCAGGCACAGGAGGTGGACGCAGCCATGCCTGTGCTGCTACTGTCGCTGGCCACAGACCACCCGAAGCTGCTGCACCCGTTCGCGTGCTCATGCTGAACGGCATCCTGGACTGCCTGAGCAACCTGCACTTCATCCACATCTGGCAGCTCTTCCGTGTCCTGACCACGCTCACGTTTGACCGCCAGCGCATCCCCGCCGCAGGCCTCATCGATGACGAGAACGAGGATGGTGTGTGAGATTGAGTGAGTGAGAGTGTGTGTGTGTGTGTGTGTGTGTGAACTTGTGCGATGGGGAAGGTGTGTTGGATAACATAATGTCCTTCCATGCAGAATGTCTCTCACCCTTCACTCCACCACCAACACCGCCACCACCACCATTCCTTCTCCATTGCACCCCGTGTACGGCAGCTGTCTCAACCGAACGAAGAGCTGAAACGCAGCGGCACCATCGCTGCTACCACCGTCACCCGCACCTGGCTCACTCTCACCAACGACACAGACACCTCCATCGGCCGTGCGTTCGTGCGTGCGTGCGTTTGCGCCCTTGTTTGCGCCCTTGTTTGCGGTTCACCTGAGTCCCCCGTGTGTACCTGTCGTGCTCCTCATACATCACTCACCCGTCTCCTCGCCTGTCCAACAGGCAACCATCTCTCCTCGCTGTTGCAGACATTGCAGCTCATCTATGTCGACAAGTGCAAACAGCTGACATGCTCCGTTGCCACAACGCCTCCACATCCACGCCCAGCCACTGCCCATCCATCATCGTGGTGTCGTTTCCTCCCCCGCTCCCCAGCACCAACAGCCATCAAGAGCAAGCACATCTATCGGGATGCGTGAACGGGGATGGCGGACTCACCATCGACCCACCGCCGCCACGGCCGCTTGGCTTCAGGTCGCTCGCCGACCCCGACGTACCCGTGTGTTGGCCGCCGAGACCCCCAAGCGCACGTTACAGCACGACAACACCGTCAACACGATTGTGGTTTGCGCGGACGGACGGGTGTGCCCCACACGCGGGAGACGTGCTCTAACTTCTCGCCTGAGTACACGCGCGCGCGCGAGGTGGACAAGGACACGCACATGGTCGTCAGCGAGAAGACGCTGCAGGCGCCGTTCGAGACGAAGCTGAAGCTGCCGGGGATTGCCGCCGTGTTCGCGGGCATGATGCGCTGCAAGACCGATGTGGAGACAGGGCTGCGGGAGCACGCTGCCGGGACGCGGACGTCTTCTTGTTCCTGATGTCGCTGCAGCCCTTTGTATGGTGGAACCTGTCGCTGGGGACGGACAACCTGAACCCGGAGGAGGAGACGGTGGAGGAGGTGCAGCACGAGAGTTGGGCGCATCCCCGATTGGCGTGGGCCTGCAGCGACGACGTGTTGTTCCGCACGGTCGTGGACGGACAGCGAGGACAGGCTGGCGACTCAGACATCCAACGAGGCTGCTGGACGCGTGGGAGCTTGGTGTCTCGCACGCTGCCGATACTGCCGCACTCTAACGTGCTGGAGCTGATGCACCAGGCGGGCGTTGTGGGCGTGGACGCGAGGGTGAAATAGGACCTGCTTGCTTGCCAGTGTTTGGTTGACGTGTGGCGTGGTAGGTTGTATTGCTGCTTGTCAGCCGGTTGGATCGCGTGAAGAGTTTACTATAGTGTCACACAAGCAACGTCAAACAAGGCAAGGCAATCGGCAAGCAAGTAAACGCAAGCAAAGTAAGGCAAGCACGTGGAGGAAAGAGCAGGAGCAAACGAGCAAAGAGACCAACCAGCAAGCACACACACACACACACGCACAGAGCACACAGTCAAGTGGTGGCGTTGATGCGACTGTTGATGGCGGTGCACCAGTCAGCGAGCGAGGTGTCAGAGCGCGCGTGCAAGCGGAAGGCGAAGGTCCGGCCGGGAACAGCAACGTGTAACTCTTCGCCACCATGGGCGAGCTCAGCTGACAGCACGCTGGACAGGGGGATGCGTCGCTTGGCCGTGCCTGAAGCGGACTTGCCGTACGCGAGGTGGCCGTCGTCGTCAAGCTTGCACCAGCACGGGCGAAAGGCGGCCCTCCGTCGCCCACGCTTCCGCAACCAGCCGGCCAGTGGCTCATTTGGGCACTTACAAGCGTCCTTGTACAACGCTCTTGCTGGTACAGAGCAGCCACGAGGAGCATCTCGCCCAGTCCATGTCTTCTTGTCTTCACCGTCGCTGCCCGTGTTTGCTGGGCGTCTTGCCTCAGCGTGAACCTGTGCAACTGCACCGAGAAACCGCATGAGCAAGTTGCGTTGTGGAGCAAACGCCTGGTACACAACAGCAGAAGAGATGAACCGAAGCAGAAGGTTGCGATGAGCAAGTACGTTTTGCTGCTGAAGTTGAGACTCTGACACGTGTTGCGTGGATGCGTGCTGCCTGTTCACAGCACCACCGCGAATGCGCCCCAGGTTTCGCTCCGCCTTGCGGGTGTTTGGGTGGTCTGTCCCAAGCGTGGTTGTGAAAACGTCGAGCGCCTGTTGGACATAGGCGCATGCCCGCTCCTTTTCGCCGCGCTTGTCGTGCAGCAGGCCGATGTTGAAGTACGTCTGTGCTGTGCTCGGGTGCTTCTCGCCCAACGCTTCCACCGTGATGGCGAGGTCCTTCTCGTGGAAGTGGATGGCTCTGTCGTAGTCGCCCTTGCTATGGTAGGCGATGCCGAGGTTGCCGTAGGTATCGGCAGTGCTTGGGTGCTTCTCGCCCAGCGTCTCCACGTAGATGGCGAGGGCCTTCTCGTACAGCTCGATCGCTCTGTCGTAGTCGCCCTTTCTGTCGTAGGTGTTGCCGAGGTTGTTGTACGTGTCGGCTGTGCTGGGGTGCTTCTCACCCAGCGTCTCCACCATGATGGCGAGGGCCTTCTCGTAAAACTCAACCGCCTTATCGTATTCGCCCTTGCTGTCGTAGGCGATGCCGAGGTTGCCGTGCAACCCCGCCACGTTCTCGCCTTTATCCCCCTCAGTTCGCAGGTAAATCGGCAGGGCTGTCTCGTAGAATGCAATGGCGCCATCGTATTCGCCAAAGTCATCCAGCACCAGCCCAACGTTGAGGCATAACCCCGCGAAGGCAACTGTGCTGTCCTCGCCCCGTGCCCGCATGGCTTCGACGGCACCCACCGCTTTCTCCAGGCACCATGCGCGCAGCTGGTCTTTCACGGCCTGGTTGACTGCGCTGAAGCCGCCCGCCCACGACTGGATCGCCGTGAAGATCATGTGTTTGTCGTGGGGGTTGAAGGCGTCGGCTCGCTCTGCCTGCACGCGCACCAGCGTGTCGGTCACTGCTTTATAGTCATCGCGAATGGCGTTTTCGAGCGCCTGTTCTTCGCTGTTGGGTAGTTGGATGGTGACCTCTGTGCCCTCGTTGCTGATGCCACAGAAGATCTCCCACAAACACCACGCGCGTGTCAAGGGAACAGGGTCTCGCCACGGCATGAGCACCAGCAGCACATGGCCAATGTTGGCAATCGACTGCTTGAACGTCGTGCTCCACCTGGGTGTTGAGAAAGGGAAAGGGGGAGGGGGAAAAGGATGAAGGGAAGAGGAAGACAGGGAGGAAAGGGGAGGGGGTTGCAGTTCTTGTGAGGGAACAGTGTGCGTGTGTCTGTGTGCGTGTGGCAGTGAAGGGCACGAGAGTTTCACACACACACACACACACACACACACACACACACACACACACACACACACACGCACGCACACGCAAAACGCACCATTCTTGTGGGAGGTTGGCCGTGACGTTGGCGTTTTGGTTGTTCATAAAGAGGTCAAACCAGAAGAACACCGGCTGGCCGTCGTCCTTCCTTGCTTGCTCCTCTGCAAACTCAAGCAAGACGTTGAGCACGTCTGCGACCTTGTACCGCCATGCGTGCGACACGAACACGGTGGCCTTGTTCACGTGCTCTGGCGACTGCTTGCGCAGCTGCTCGACGTAGGCGCAGTTGTCCTGGCGTGTGCGTGGCACAACCAGCTGCTTGCAGGCATCCTCCGTCGTCATTTCAGCGTACGTGTCGGGGAACTCGCGCTTCAGATCACCCAGAAACCGCCGCACAGCTGCCACGGACACGCCGTGCGTCAGTCGCTGGTCAGCCATGGCTGTGGCTGTGTGTGTGTGTGTGTATGTGGAGCCTGAGGAGCGGTGTGTGGGGTTGTGGGGTTTGGTTGGAGGTCAACCGCTCAGTGGGCAATCCGTGTGGCGCGGACGGTGGGCTTGAGGGCTTGAGGGCTTGGTGGCGCGGGGCGAGGTGCCAGGAAGATGAGACGATTGAGGAGATGGTCGAGGTGGGAGAGGAAGAGGGGAGTGGGTTGGTTGCTTTGGTTTGAGGAGAAAGAGAAGAGTGGCAAGGTTGTGAGGGTGGTTGTAGTGTGCACACACCCAGCCAAGAAAGAAAGAGAGAGTCAAAGCGCGCGCGCGAGAGAAGGAGAGAGAAAGTGCCAAAGAAAAGAAGAACAGGAGGAGGAAGGGGGGAGGGGGGTGTGGCTTTCGCCTTTTTTTTTTTTTTTTGTCGGTGGGTGGGAACAACAATAAAGGAGACGAAACACACAGACAGAGAGGAGAGAGTGCCCACCAGCTTTTTTTTTTTTTTTTTTGTTGGGGGGGGGGATGCTGGTGGAGCACGTAAGGCTGGTCGCTCAGCTTTTCGCTAACCACAAAAGAGCTGCTGAGAGTGAGTGCGAGAAGCTGGTGGTAGCAACAACGAACACGCTTCCGGGCCCAAGAAGGTGTCTTGTGCGTTTTTAACCAACCGCTCACACACACATGCACAGCAACTCAAGGCAGTTGGCAGAAGAAGCAAAGAAACCGTCAGCCTGAGGCGGCGAGTACGCTTACGCACACCGTGGTCCTGTGGTCACACACAAGGGTGGTGTGGACTGAGAGGAGAGCTGAGGACTTGAGCCAGAGGGAGAGGCAGCGCTGTCCTGATCATCAAAGGACAACAAAAGCCGATGGATGTGCAGCGTGGTATCTGGTCAACCAGTCTTGGTTTGTTTCGCTTGTGCTTCTTGTTGTGGTTGTTGTTGAGGTGGTTCAAGGAAAATGGCCACCAAACACCAACTCACAACAAACCAACAAACAAACAAACCAGCAGACTGCTGGCACAGCCCGAGCTGTGGCATAGTACCTGCCGCACGTTGGCACTAGGGCAGGGCATCGGCGACAAGGGTCGATGCGTCGCCGAGCAACCAGCTGTGGTGGGTGTGCGGGATGGCCAGTACAGCCGTGCACATGGAGGCGTTTCTCAGGACGTTCCCGTTTATTGACCAAGCGCACATGGCTCTGCTGAGGGCGCGGCAGGGAGAACCAATAGGGGAGGAGGAACAGGCCAAGGAGGAAGAAGCAGAAGGCCCAGGGACAAGCAACAGGCAGATGCAATAGACGAGAAGAGTAGGGCAGAGGTGAAAGGAATGACAATGGGGGAGAAGACAAAGAAGGAGGAGGAGGAGAAGAAGAAGGAGGTGGAGAAGAAGAAGGTGCTGGTGGAGCAGGAGGAGGAGAAGAAGGGCAGGGGTGGTGCTGGTGGAACGGTGCCCCGGAGGAGCAAGGCCGGACCCCGCGCACCGACATGGGCGAACGCGGATAAGCTGGAGGAAAAGAAGCAGGCCACCAACAAGGAGAAGAACAACAGCAACGGGTCACGGAGGCCAACAAAAGGGTCGCGTTGACGTCCCTGCACGTGAATGTGGTGAGGTCGTGCACGTTTGTCGTTGTGGTGGCGTTTTCGAGCACAATGGTGTCTGCTCTGGGCTGCCGCGTTTCGTGCGGTCTGGATGAAGGCTGCCGGGGGTCCGGCATGCATGGCAATGTCTCAGCCTGCATGCTTGGGTCCGGGGAGTAGTCGCGGCAGACCCCGCCCGCCCTCTTTGCTGAACACCAGCTGCGTGCCTGAGCTGATGCGATAAGTCTTGCACATGTCGAGGGGGCGCCTTGAGCAAACGGCAGTGTGCCGCACACCATCTGGAACACGGTGGGCCAGGAAGACGCCATGGTGCAGGTGGCGTTGGCATGAACCATGCACACACAAACACACACACACACACACGCGCGCGCGCGCGCGCCTCCTCAACGCTGTGAAATGTGTGTACACAGACACAAGATGGGAGAGAATGCAGGGGATGAGGTTGACAGCGACGCATCATCAACCACACGCCAGCCCCATTTCAACCATCCACACTGACACACAACCACACACACACACACACACACACACACACACACACACACACACACACACACATGCTCACCTCCTCATCAGAGCGAGTGACATGTGCAATGTCTGACTCACGCCAGATTGGAGCTGGTGTCGGCCGGAGTGTGATGGCGGCTGTGCGGTCGATGGCAATGGAGATGACGATGACAGCGGAGCTTAGGTGGAAGAGGAGAGAAAGGAGAGCGAAATGGGGAAGGTTGATGATGATGATGATGATGATGTGTCGTTCATGGCGGCTTTCTTCCCCCTCCTCTGATGTGGCCCTGGTGCCCATGTAACCAACACACAACGACAAGACACAACGACATCATCACACACAACACACAGGTATGGCATGTGAGCACAGCAGGCGTGTTCACCTCCCTGCCCCTCCTCTGCTTCCCTTCTTCTCGCCCCACGACACACACACACACACACACACACACACCTGCACATGACTGCGTCACTGTGGTTGGATGTGCCCACCACGACCATGGATGTGTGTGTCCACAGCTGCTCCTCCCATTCCATCATGTGCGTGCACCCGCCCATCATCCTCCAACGATCCTCAGGCAGCCATCCCCTGCATACACACACACACACACACACATGACATGTGAGTTGCACAGCGACACTGCTACGAGATACAACAGCAGCAGCAACACCAAACACCCACAGCAGCAACAACATCAACACATGCGCCATGTGCCAACCAAAAGCACGCATGATGGGCTCACCTTGCTCACGCATATGGGAACACTGCATGAGCACAACAACGACAGCCGAATCGGGGGAGTTGCACCAGCAGCAGCAGTCGGCATGCGAGCCCGCTTCCATCAACATTGCGATGTGTGCTGGCACCTCACCACCTGTGTGTGTGTGTGTTTGTGTGTGAGTGGTTGCAAGGAACGTGGATGGAAACAGAACACAACAGAGACAGAGCAAGCCATCAAGTCAGCACAGCAGAACGAGTGATTGACATCACACGCACCACGTGTGTGCGTGTGTGTGTCGGTGTGTGTTCGTGTGTGACCATCATCTCCATCAACCCTCTTCCCTTGTTCGCTTCACCACATCCCAGCACCACAGCCCCATCACACAACCAACCAACCACTCATCACCGCCCACATACCATGTGTGAGGCGAGTGCAGCTGGCACGCATGACAAGTATCCTCGACATTCCCCTCATCCTGCCTGTAAGTGTGCATCACCTGCAAGTGTGGTTGTGTGCGAGCACCAGCGTGGTGAGTGAGTGGGAGGGAAAGAGGGAGCACGGATAGGTGCGCAGCTACACTGCTGCTGCCACTGCTGGTGTTGTGCATGCATGTGTGTGTGTGAAGAAGAAAGGGAAGAGAGAGAAAACAGCAAACAGAAGGGAAGGAACAAGACATGCTGCAACCCATTCCATCCATCCATCCCTCTTCCTCACACCACCACACACCACCATCCTCTGTCACCAGCCAGCCACCACACCACACCATACTCACCCAGCATCCCCCACCCCACCTCATCCCATCCATCCATCCATCCATCCAACACACATCTCCTCCGTTTTCCCTCTTCTTCTCGCCCTCACCTCTGCTTGCTGCTGCTGCTTCCCGCCGAAAATGCAACTTGTGCTGTCGCCACCTGTTCCCAGCAGCAAGCAGCCAGCTTCCGCCAGCAGCAGTGGGCGATGGGTTGGTTGGTTGGTTGGTTGGCTGGTTGGTTGGTTGGGGGATGTGTTCAGCAGCAAGTGGTGGTGGTGCATTCTCTGCTGCTGCTGCTGCATCGGCGGTGGAGGGTGTGTTGGCTGGTGCTGCTGTTGTTGTTGTTGTGATGGCCGTCAGGGAGGGCGAGAAAGAGACGGAAAGACGAGCAGCGACTGCAAGGTGGAGAATGTGCAGGGATGCAAGCAGTCGTGTGTGAGAACGACGAATGAGACAGCACATCAAGCAAGGCAAAACAGGCAGCCGCACGACACACATGCACACATTGATGTGGGACAACAAGGGGAGACAGGAGCAGCAGAGACAGCGACCACAAACACGCACACTGGTGCGGTGCGCAGCATACACACATGTGCAGTGATGCACTCACGTTTCTCATCGCTGGCTTGTTTGTGGTGCGTGTTGGTGTTGCTGCTTCCGCAGCCGCACAGCGTGGCTGGATGGTCATCGCATGGCAGCGCCCGTCTGTTCATCCCACCAGAGCAGTGGTGGTGGTGGAGGGGAGGGGTGACAGCTGCTGGCTCAAAGGCCCTTTGTGGGGCGAGAGCAACAGGAAGGAGAAACAAGGGAGGGAGGGTGGTGGTGGTGTTGGTGTTGAGAGTGGGAAGGGAAGGATGTGAGCAAACACACAATCAAATAAGGAGGTGGTGGCGACGGCGTGTGGGTGGGTGGAGAAGAGAACATGCACGTCGACACACACACACACACACACACACACACACACACACACACACACACACACACATCTGTCTGGGCGATGCAGTGGTTCGATCACCATTCATCCGTCAGCACGCAGTCATTTGTGGGTTGGTTGGTGGGGGTCGCCCACTGCCTCATGCATCAGCCAGCACCTGCTGCTGCTGCGGCTGCTGCTGATGATGGAATACATCCATCTGCACGCACCACAACAAACAAGCAAGCAACAACAACAGCAGTGAGCAGCGTGTCACAGACAGAGAAATGAGGAGGAGGAGGAGAAGAAACACAACCCCGTGCACACACACACACACACACACACACACACACAGTGGCTGTGATGGTTGATGCCATTTCCCCCCTCTCTCTCATGTGTGCTGCTCACTGGTTGAGAGGTTGCATGATCCATTCTCAGGGCCGCCGCTGCATGACGGTGGCTGATGGCGGTTGTTCTATCACCACACAACGGTGAGCAAGCGTGAGAGTGTGTGCGTGTGTGAGTGTGCATTTGTGAGTGCCACACGCAGTGGTGTGTTGGTTGTGATCCAACCACCCGTGTGAGGATTGATTGATGGTGGTCCACATGTGTGCGGGTGTGTGTGTGTGTGCACGATGACAGCGTGCGCTTTGTTGTTGTTGGTGGTGGGTGGCGGTGGTTGTTGCTGTGCGCAGTGTGCAAGGAGAAGAAGGGGAAGGGGAGGAGCACGAAGTGGGTGGAAGGAGTGAGTGCACTCAATCTCACCCTCACCTGTCGATGGATGGGTCATTCATGTGGTCGTTGGTTGGTTGTTTGGTTGGTTGTGCGTGGTTCATCACAGGAGGAGGAAATGCACAACGGTGGAAGGAAGGAAGGATGGATGGATGGGAGAAAGGGGAGAGACGGTGCGCACACCCTCCCTGCACATGTATGTGTGTGTGTGTATGTGTGAATGCGTCAGCGAGAAGGACGACGAAGGGAAGAGAAGGAAGGAAGGGAAGGAAGGAAGGAACGTGGCACGCACAACCACCACCAATGTGTGTGTGTGTGCACGAACCAATGACACATTCACTCACCTCACCTCATCTCCCCCCCCTCCTCTCATCTGCCTGTCGGCAACGACGACGACCATGATGACCATCACCATTCCTTCCACCATCATCATCAATCACACACCATCTGCTGCTCAGAAGAAGAGAATGAAAGCAACCG